AACTGACAAAAACTGTGGGAGCTAATTAATTTTCAATCTCACTGACTAACCAGAAAACACGAACGGAGATAATGCCCGTTTTATGAAATTGACGTTTATCGTTCACAAAAATGGCTATTGCATCACCATAAAATACAGTACTAGTGTTACAATATAAGGAATACATTACAAACTAATGCCATATTCTTACATATCGTAAATTTCTCACCTTTTAATTATTAACATGTTAACCAAAAAAGAAATGTCACATTATCTTTACGGTATTAATAAAGAATTCTATTCTATTCTATATATTAATTTGATATATATCAAACCTGTTGTACCACCACCGAATTGACCATCGCATCAGTGGGGGTGTTACATACATGGGCTGTCCTTTCAAAAATGTAAACCAATCGGCACTTTCTTTTTGTTTGGGAACTGCGCAAGCTCGGGTCTCTTTTTAAAATGGCCGCGTAGAAGATGGTGTCAAAGCATTCCTACTATTTTATGAGTGAACGGCGGTTTTACCGGCGACCAAGAAACGTTCTTTGTTTACCACCAAGCTCAATATTTTTGGGGCAAAAAGCGGTCTCGATGTCGATCATTTTATTTCCATCACACATTCACAGGCTGGTTGACAAAAATGTAAAAATATGACGTCACATTGCGACGGTCCATACCCACAGACCAATATATCAGAGCCCATTGTATAAGAATGAAGCTAAATGTTACTAAATGATATATTAGTAGTATTGTTTTACAGTATAAACCACAATCTATTAATAGGAAGCACAAATACATTTACTAATTGTTAATTACATGGTTATTTGCATACTGTAACGTGGTTACTCATGTGATCAATATGTCGACCGAGGTGGTTGATTTTTCTGTAAGTTAAAACAATTCCATGGGATAGCAAGACAATGTCACAGTGATGGATAGTCGATACAATTGAATGAAACGTCCCAAATACAACCTGTTGGTCGAAAATTTTAAACAATTAGTTCAAAAGTCGGAAATGTTGGTAAGGACATTGCGTCCAGTAATTACGCCCTCAAATGAGGTTTTCATCATTGAGTCTTCAAAAACGATATTCCCACTAAGACCACTAATAGTACATATCAAAACAAACCTTACATGAATTTCGATATATTTATACCAATGCCAGTGTACGCAACGTCACGTAC